GGTCGAGGCTGTGGTGACCGGGAGCAGCCACTGCACTCCAGTCTGGGCAACAGAGTGAGAACCCAACTCAAAAACAAAAAAACAAACAAAAAAACCCCACTGTTAGGCCTAACACTGAGGCCACAAACTGGTTTTCTGCAGGCCTCCAGACATTTCTTGCTTGGTCTGCATTTATTTGAAACTAAATTAGTTATAAACAATTAAAAATCAGATTTCTAGCTTTTCTTGAAAAAATCAGACAACAAAGCCACATTGGTTCGTGCACAATGACACTCAGCTGGAGGGTCTTGCCCTCCCCCCTTGCAGGGGCCTGCATGTCCAGCCTTGTATACTTAGCACATGTGGACGTGTGAGTGAACAACCCTTGCCTTGGTGTCCAAGGGTCCTGTTTCCCAAAGTCCACTGGCCAAGCAGAATCGAGGTGTGACCTTCTACAAGATCCAGATATTCAGACCCTCTGCAGCTGCCTGCACTTGACCCTGACCTGTCCCCCTACATACTGCTCTCCTGCTTCCCTTCCGCTTTCTTCCCCACGGCCCCCCGTCCAGCACTAGAGGTGGACCCCAGCCCAGGCCCCTTCCCTTCCCCACATCATAGTCTCCCTCCACCTGCTCACCCTATAGTACCCACCCAGCTGTGGTTGCCCCCAAGCCAGGCCAAGCCCAGCAGGAGCAGCTGCAGAGCAAAGACAGTGACCAGCTTCATGTTCCTGTGCCTGTGGAGTCTCCAGCCCTCGGCCGTCGGCTTTTATCCTAGGGAGGACCTCCCACCCTATTCCTCAATGACTCACAGCTTCTCTCTCCCACGCCACCCCCACTCCAGATTGCACCAACTGAGGAAAGTGGGAAGGAAGAGAGGTACCATCCTCAGCAGGGAGAGGAAGAAACAGGGACAGACACCTGGGCAAGCCACTTGCCAAGGGCCCAGAACCCTGTGGCCCAGAGCTGAGCTCCTTCACCTTGAAATTTCTCCTTACCTCAGTAATTGCTTTCCAGTTGAAGAAAGGAGTGTTATGTTTGAAATCCTGGAGAGAGAAGGAGAGCTGAGTGGGCCCCGGGGAGACAGAACTCATAGGCTGGTATGTGGCAGCACACTGGGGAAGTTTCTGGATCATGCGTAGGAACGGGCTTGAAAGCCTGGGTGTGGTTCGGGGGTTGGAGGAAGGATAAGCATGCAGGAGGTTGAGGGTGTTCGAATTTTAGATGGTGATAAGATTTGAGGTAGCCAACTCAAAAATGAAAAGGGGGGATTTGGGACCTGAGGGTGGCTGCCTTGAGGAAGGATGAAGAGAGACCGGATGCCAGAGTCCCCGGTTATTCAAACAGTGAGAATTCTCCTACCTCCCAGAGTCGTCTGAAGTAGAGGAGGGCTCGGGTGCTGGGGGGCGGGACTTGGTTCTGTGGACGAAATGGGGAGAGCAGCTAGATCTCTGGAGCCATGAATCAATTCTCCCTCTCCCCGCACATACACTGTGTTCTTCTCCCAGTTTCCCCCGGCCTCTGGCAGAACCTGATTGTAGCAAAACCTCAGGGCCAGCACCTGCCTCAGCACGTCCCCTTCCCACCCGCCATGCCACCTCCGGCCCATTTCCCAAAGCTATGGGGTTGAAGCCACCCCTTCCAACTCGCCGACCCTGACACCACAGTGGAGACGGAAGAAAGGAGCAGAGACCAGGAGTCTGGGGCAGCTAAGGTTTATTTCAAGGGCAAGGGCTGAGATTAGTGATGAGAGAGTGGTGTTTTAAGAAGGGAGTGGGGGCCTCCCATCCATCTGGTAGCTCCTTGTCTGGAGGTCACGGGATGCGAAAGCGCCTCTGGTCCTGGGCAAAGAAATGGGTTCTAAGAGGGAGCTTGGGGAACAGAAACGGAAGGGAGTAGTGGGCCAAGGCAAGGGTTGAGCGGACCTCTGCTGTAGAAATCTGCAGGGAGCCGGGCCCGGTGGCTCAGCCTGTAATCCCGCGCCTTTGGGAGGCTGAGGTGAGTG